TGGTATAAGACCAATTAGAAAACTAATATTATCGATCACATTTGTAAATCCATAGCCAGGATATGACTCTGTTCAGAAACAGAAATTTTATTGGGGTGCGCAGGACACCAACTGTTTTGTTTAATTTTGTTTAAATCTACAGAAACCCATAATTATATCTAAGTGTAGCTGTCCTGCCAGTCTTGTAACTGGGCTAGAACCAAAGTAAACAGACTGAAAGTCGCAAGTTCAAATCCAAATTCAAAAGGTGTTATAATTGCGTTCAGTATCCCCAGTTTGGGAGAAAAATCAGGCAGAATTCCCCAATGCGGATGTGTTGGAAGGCGGGTCTGTAAGGATGATGGGTTGAGGACAGGTTGAAGCTCAGGTGTGTTGTTGCTCATATTCACATAGACAACCAATACTTCCTAATTTAGAGTTCACACACAAACAACAGACACTTGAAAGAAATACCAGTAGGGACTCCAGTGCCTATAGACATGTACCACAGCAAGAATTAAAGAGGGGCAGGGGAACATGGGAGAAAAATGGCCAAGTAAAAAAGCACACAAAGAAATTCTATTACCCACCACCACTGTAACAGACCCATCATTTCGAGCAAGTATTTCAATGTAAACTTTCTCCACTTTTCTTAGAACAATGGGATGAAAAACGAGGTTTCTTAACCAATTCTAAACTGTTCAAACTAATTCAAAAGTGCACTTTCCATCCAATACTTCTAATTTTATTGCTGGCTCTTTTAAAAAAAAACTATCAGAGGACACAGTGACATTTCATAACAGATTTGATGTGATCATCTAATTGAATCTGTATTTTAATACAGTACTTGTTTAGCATTGCACTTCGATGAAATCCTAATAAATTGCTGGCTACCATTAGATTTCGCCTAAATCCTAGGGAAGGATTTTTGTACAGGTAGCCAAATTGGCAACTTTGTGGCTTGGCTATTTAGCTCCGTATAATTTGAAACATGATTATCTGACAAGCACACAATGGCAGATTGTGAAGTTAGTGAATGCCGCAGACCTGCCAAGCTCACATCAACAAATTCATTGCATTTAGTGAATGGAGCAAAGAACACCCCCATCCCACCCTATGACCACGCAATTTTAAAGTTAAATCATGCAATTTTGTAGCAGTATAGTCAGGAACAAACCTATTGCTCTCTGTGGTTAAAATCCCAACCTCTGTGTCAAATACATAATAATGCCAGACAATAGTACTGTATTCTGTGAATTAAATTGTTTTTTACCAGATTAATTGAACAAAATGCATGTGTTTTAAAGATTTACGTTCCTGTTGAAACAAGAATGACTAACAGGGTTTTCATATAATTTGGATTCGGAGTAAGTTTGTTTGCTTATCTCCTGTATGTCACCTTTTTTTAAAAAAAACGTCTAAACAGCAAAACACACTTTGGTTATGTAGCTCTCTGTCCCATAAGACAATTTGACAGCATAGACCTACAGGCTCCCTAGGCCTAGCCAGTTAGGCACCAGAAAGAACAGCACAGGTATATGATTAACACAACACAATTATAAAGATTGCATGGTGGCCGGCACATTGGTCCTCAAACACTGGTGCCAGAGAATGATATGACATGGGCTTTGTGCCCGCAATTTTCCACATGGTAAGTTCCCTAGACTACTCTTGCACATCTAGAGAGCTGGCTATAGACCAGCATTGGCAGCGGCCTGGGAGCAGTCTCCTATACTATCTTGAGCCAGGAATGATGCATGGCATGGGGAAATTTGAGGATGGAAGAAAAATAAGAAAATAAATTATATTCTCCTTGAACAAAGCACATCACCCATTTCATTTTATTCCATGGCAGGTGTGATACTGGAGCTGTAGGTTTCAATGATGGAATGTTTACAGGTTAGAGTTGACAGATGGTCTTAGCTCACCACATTGTTAAACAAACTAATATGTTACGATCGTCATTGGCATTCGCACTTCCAGTAAGTCTGACTACCTGCCACACTGCATCAACATCCAGCAGCAGTGCGATAATTACTTATTTGCCTGCATTTCAAGCTTTTTCCACTTTATTTTTGTTATTACTCTTAGGCTAATATAATTCAGTATTTATTAAAATAATAATCCTTGCATTTCGTATGGAGCCTTTAATTTCAGGACATCTCATGGTGCTTCACAGGATATCATGTGGAGTCCTGTAGCTCAGTGGTTAGAGCACTCGCTTTGCAAGTGAGAGACCTGAGTTCAATTCCAGGCAGAGGGCGAAACCTTGGGCAAGTTTCCTTACTCCACACGCCTAATAATAATCCCTCCAAAAAACCAAAAACAATAATTAAATTGGTCATTTTCAATCTACGACTGTTTGTGGGACATTGCTGTGCGCAATTGGCTGCCGCGTTCGCCCACAAATATACAGTCAATTCACTTTACAGTGTGTTCTGTGAAGCGCTTTGGGACGTCCTTCTGACGTGAAAAGCGCTATATCAAATGCAAGGATTATTATTATTATTATCATGTAAGTGTAATGACTGTGTATTTGTAGATGAAAATAACTAATTTGCATGCAGCAATGATCCAAAACAGCCATGAAGTAAATGACCAATTTTTATTTGGCCAGGACATTGGGAGAAACTCCCTTCTCTATTTTGGAATTAATAGTGAGGCCTGTGCTTTTATAGATCAATGAAGTAGAGCCATGACATGCTTAAACAGGAATATTAAAGGGTATTGGGACTGAGCTGGAGGGTGGGATTAAATTAAGTAGCTCATGTGCAAAATCATGAAGGGGAGGAGAGGGGGAACGGGGAGATGGTGGAGAGGAGGGAAGGGATGGGAGGGTTGGGCCATTTTTTGCTGGTTGACAAATGCATTGAGATCCATTCTATTTCACAGGATTGACAACTCGATAAGCAGATTCACGTAAAGAAACAGCCTTTAGTATTATATTGAAGTTCTAGTTGAGAAATTTGCTTTTATCTCTTATTTGATTGAATCAAATAAACTTGTATTAAAAATGTTTTATTGAACATCTTCTGCGCAACTTGCTCCTTCTGTACAGAAAAGCAACCAGGTGTGATTTTTATTGAGTTTACAAAAGAAAATACATTAAGCCCTCGTCTTAATGAACGCTGAGTAGCTGGAATTTGTATCTAGCTGCCTGGGCCAGGAAGAGAATTTTTTTTTTAAAAAAATTCACGGCTCAATGCGTGTGTAGACTTCCCACCAGCCCACCCCTCGCGCCCTCCCCAGTCTCACTGGCCCTCAGTGAGCACCCTGGGACGCCGCCTGGCGTGGAGGGCGCTATATAAATGCAAGTTGCTGTTGTTCAGCGGCCAGGGACATCCACCTCGACTCAGTTTGAATCCCGCGAGCAGAAAAGAGCTTAACTTTGCTATCTTCTACTCACAGGATTCAAACAATTACAATGCTTTCATTGTATCAGCATTTACCATTATTTAAAAATGCCAGTGACGCTGGTACCCGTGTGGAATTACGCAGCCAGAAATTAATGCTTGCTGGACCAGATTCACCATCTAGTTTTGCACACGGTTGTTTCTAATTTCAGCTATCAGGGGCATGTGATAAACAGAGGAAAGGTGCTTTACCAGAGGGAGAGGGGAAGGTTAAACAGAAAACAAACTGACAGTTATTTTATAATACTTTGGTTACCAGTTACAGTGCAGCATTGACAAAGGACCTTAGTACAATGGTTTAGTCAAAGCCAGTTCTTAGTTTTTTTTGCTGCCGTCTTGGGTTCCAGCTGACAGACCCAGTTCTTGTTCCTGAGCCCAGAATTGTCATTTGAGTACCGCCTCAAGAGGTACCAACTGAGTTAAACCGGTACCGTGAATGAAATGATGCAATCAGTGTTCAGAAACAACAGAACACAGAAATCTTCAGGGACAATCACTGTCCCTACGTTGGGAGTGAAGGGAGAGGAGAAAGAGCGTTTCTGTTTTTATGGTGTAGATTGGAAATTGTGATATTCATAAGCAATTACGCTACACAATCGGTAATTAACAAATCTATTACGAAAGATCACACTTTTCACCTATATATTTACAGAAGTGATTTTATTAAATCCCTGGGGGGTCAGTGGGGTGAATTCCAAAGCACTCCAGCAACAGGCACCAATTACACATGTGTAATTGTGTGAACATTACAATTTGTAGCTCTCTTTTCTCTGATCTTTCCTGCTTGCTGGATGTCTGCAGCCCGATGAATAATTTTGCTCTATGCAAAACTAGCTGTTGCCTTTGCCCACAATAAACACACGTCCTCCTTATGAGCCGGGTGCTATACCAAATTTAAGGACTATAATTCTTATAACAAACAATACTTATCATTGACATGTTCGGGTTAGTATGAGTAATCAGTCTACTGCGAGACAAAGAAAATGGCAGTTTCAGTCACAGGAGGCAATGTTTAGATTTAATGTCAGGACACCACTGCCCCCAGAGGTCCTGCGATCTCAGAACCTCCTCCATCTCACAACACTGACACTGAGGCAGCCACTGCTGTTCAAGTAAACAAAGCAAAAAAGTGGCAGTGAATTGAACAAAACAGTCTTACTGGACACCAGGACTTCGTTAGTGAGTGGAATATAAAATGCCTTTACATCTTCAATAAGGATGTGTCACATAGATTTGATTTTTAGTGGGTTAGTTCTGAAATACAGTACAGTCTTTGTACATCAAAGGAAATACCTCAGTTCTCAAAATCCTTCAGGGAAAAAACTTTCAGAGTATAACAAATATTGTCCAACTGACTAGCTCAAGCTGTCTAGCAGAGAATACCCACAGATCTACTCATCCACCCACAGACAGGAGGTGAATACTACCCACACATCCTTGGAGGCTACATTTAGTCAGAGCCACATCAATGTGCCATTTCTGTGCACATACAACCACAAACCCCTTTGAGTGCTAATAAGCCTTTCTGCAAACAGACATTAATTTTGACAAAATTACAATGTACCTCTCATGTGACTGACAGAAAAACCACTGAAGAGCAGTACCTACCACAGCCTTTTGATGCCCACGCTCCGCACGCTGGCAAGCTTTCTACTGCCACATCTTCTTTACAGTTTTATCTCGATAATCTAAGAGGTTCAATGTGTAAAAGAGAGAATAAATTTCAGGTCATTTATATTATTGAAGAGACAATACTTTGACCGCTTCATGGAATAGGTTAGTATAAAAAATAAATAACATTTTGTTCAATAATGTCTACATTTTGCTTGCTTTTGCTGTAATGTCTAAGAAAGGTTTGAATGGATGTAATCAAAGGCCAAGCCAGCCATACTGAAAAATGGCTTTGAACAATATTTTTTTAAGATATGCCAGGCTTCATTACGCCAAACGTTTAATAAAGCGCAGCTTTTTTGACAGTGTTGAGTTAATCAGTCTTGAGTGAGTCAGTCTTTAAAGAAAATATTTTTTAAAGAAACATTCCATTAATTCCTTGGGAGGAAACAAAAGATCACGCATGACATTTAAATTAAATAAATGGTTGTACTTTGGAGAGCTCAAAATCCGAACAATAATAGGAAGGTTCAAACATTTCAACTGGCTATCTTAAATATTGCAGCTTTAAATATTCCCAAGATAGACAACAAGAGAAGGACAGCCTTTTTTATAGGAAATTCGCTGATAAGAAATGTTCTCTGTCCATCCAGGGAAACACTGCAGAAAGTTTTCAAAAATAAAGCTTACAATTGTAATATTCCTTTATGTATTCAGTTTGATTGGAAATGAAAGTAAATTACTGAATATCATTTGGAGCTGGGTATTTAAACAAAAACCTTGTTAATCAGTTTTTAAATTATTTTTGAATACAATGATCAATTTACAGATAATTCTCTATCGAAAGCAGGGACGAATAGCCTTTCACATAAGAAGCCAAATTTGGTGTGCGGCTCCTGATGGGACTGAATTTGATCTTGGTTAATGTTTGCACAGCACCTTCTCCCACAAGCAGAAGTTCCATCACATGATATGCAATTGCACATGATCGCTGCTGCTGGAGAAGGGTCTGAAACCCAACAGCAAGATTAATAACATTGTTCAATTTGCAGATGGCTTCTAACTGATAGTGCATTGTGCAAATGTTTACCCTGCAGCAAAAGCACAGAAAACAAACTCATAAACATTTACACATTGCATTTAAATGCACAACAGCTGCAAAACCACCACAAAACACAATTAGCAACTGCAGAGGTGTAAACCTGGAAAGAGGTCACCTGTCGATTCTTACAGGCCTAGTTGAAAATTGACAAGTGCATCATTCAAAAGGAAGCCACAAACCAACAACAGAGGGAACCAACTGCAAAACAAGGTACTGATGAACACCAATATTTTTAAAGAGGTATCACACCTGCTAATGTGGCTACATATCAGCAGATAGGATGTCATTAATAACCTTAACCCTGGGCACAGACTAGAAACAGATTGGGACAATGATGTGAACACTCAAAATGCATCATTTTCAAACCAATGCTGTCGGTAAGTGTGTGCCTGGTCATTGGGTGGCAGCAGAATCTGGTACACACATGAAGAATAACCACTTGAGTTATAATAATTATCTGATATAACACCTTTCACATCAGGAGCATGGTGTAAAGCATTTCACAGGATTGAGTGTTAAGTGGAGCAATTGTGTACATTGTAAACACGCACACACACACACACAACAGCCAATCTGCGCACAGCAATATTCACAAACAGCCAGTGAATGACCAATTTGAAATGGGGGATTGTTGGTGAGGACACCAAGAAAGCTCCCTTCATTTGATCCAACAACTACAGAGGAAGAGGAAAGAAAAGGAATAAAAGCTTACCCATGTTCAGTTGTCCATATTAAATTATGCAGAATTAATAATTTGATGTAATTAAGGAATTTCTGAACCAATCAATAGTGGCAGTAGCCACAGTATCAGCATTTTGAACATGTACCTGTGCTAGTGGTGGGAAGGTTGGGGCAATGGTCTGATCCTTCTGTCTTTGTGTGCCTCATTTGGCACATTTATGTGGATGCACATTATAGTGTACTTTTGTACTCTACCATCATTTGAGCATTTTAAAAACAAAACAATTAAGGGCTTGCAAAAATAATTAAACAGATAGATCTAAACATAGTACCAAACTGCTTCCTGTATACATTACTGGCATGTTGAATTAATTGTGTTTAATTACACACTGATTTAATTAGGTTAAATTATAGCTTTTAAGATTTTGCTGTGGAGAACAGACATCTTGCGCCACACAGACTTGGGACTCCAAAGTTTCCCTGGCATTGAACTAGATCTTCACCTAGAACTAAATACAAAGAATTACAAGAATGGCTCATGCTGATGCCCTCTTTATCCTGGCCTGTTTCTCACACAAACACAGTATAAAGCCTGGTTGAGCATATAGAGTCCAGCTGTTGAGACCATCTTGACGAGATGGTTTCAATGGTACATTAATTGGTCACTTTGCAGTATAAATGAATCAGTTGCAAAGCAAATTCAGACTGGTTCAGGAAACGGTTCTTTAAAAGTTTTGGGGTGATTCAATGGATGCTTCGCCGAACATTTAATGTCACTCACGCCTTACTGTTTGTGGAATATTGCTGTGGTCAAATTGGCTTCTGCGTTTGCCTACAAAATACACACAGCCACATCATTTTACAATATATCCTGTATATTGCTTTGAGATGTCTCAATGACGTGATAAGGTGCTATATCAAATGCAACGATTAGTATTATGATAATATTTTTAAAAAACTGGTAAGAGTTTATGTGCCTAACTGTGTTTGTGCAGAACTCCCCTCAGCCCATAACCGATGTGATTTAGGGTAGGAAGTGCAGATCAGCCTTTCTGTTCCTAATTATTCCACTGGTGAAACCATATGTTTCAGTTCCAGCAGTATAAACAGGGTGGGAAGGAGTTTATTAAACTCAATGGGGGAAAATTGTGATATTGAATGTAATGCTTTGACATCCCACAAATTTCATCCCTAAATAAGTGACATTTAACAGGAGTTTCTCAACCTGAAGATTTCTCACTCCAATGGGATTCCTGACAAATGTTTCTCTCCCTACTTAGAACCATACATGTTGTATTGTTCTAAATGTACAGCACAGCAGAACAATATTTAGCCCATTATCTTTTCCAAGAAGCCAACTACTCAAATCCCAATTTCTGTTATAGCCTTGAATACCATTCCTCTGCATGTGTTTGCCCCTAATTGATTCTGTTTTAACAGCCATCCCAGTAAATCATCCCACACCCTCTGGGAGAAGAGAGAAGTACTTCTGAACCTCTCTGGTCTCAATCTTGACTTTGTGTCCTCTTGTCCTCAAATTCCCTACCAGCATAAATAGTTTTTCATGATTAATTCTTTCAAATCCTTTCATCATCTTAAAAAAAATCTTCATCACAACCCTTCCCTCACTCAACATGCTCTGCTCCAATGGAAAAATTCCTAACCTCTGTAGCCTCTCATAGCTACAACAACAACTTGGATTTATATAGCGCCCTCCACGCCAGACGGTGTCTCAGAGCGCTTTACAGTAATGGATCCCGGAACCAAGCCAGGGGGAGTGGGGGGGAAGGTGACCAAAGACACGGTCAAAAAGAAAGGTCTTCAGCAGAGACCTAAAAATGGAAAGGGAAGGAGCGAAACGAAAGGAGTGAGGAAGGCAGGTTCAGAGCCTCGGGGCATAGTGGCTGAAGGCACGGCCACTGAGATTGGAGCGGAGGACTCGGGGAACAAGGAGGAGGCCAGACCCGCTGCTTCAATAAACACTAAAGACAATTTAACAAAAAATTCTCACACTGAGGACTCCACACCCTACTTACTGTCACCCGATCTGAGATCAGCTAATATGCTTATTCCTAATGGAATATGGTTCCACAAGTGCCAGAGGGCTGTTCAGTATCTCACAGAAGTGGTCTCTCTGAGTCCTCCTACATTATCTGTAGGTTAGTTGAATTTAGTGGCATCAGAGTCAAGTCCAATCCTCTCTTCAACCAAAGTACAGGTCAATGGATTCCAAATAACTACAGGATTCCAGTCTGATATTACTCCCTTCCAGGGGTATTGAGGTAAATTATCACACCCTCTCCCCCCTCCACTGCTATTAACTAACTCAGACATTAACCCTGGGACCCTCTTGTCTGAATGGTTCAGTAGCACAATATGTGTTGGATTTACTCACCGAGCCTGCAAGGAAGCATAGGCTCATGTGGTTTATCAGATGGTGATTTATTTTCTATTTAGTAAAGTTGATAACAGTGAGTAATCACTTCTTTTAAATATTTAAAAAGAAATGTACCATACATTCCAGCCGTGTGTAATTACATTTGTATTGGGGCCCATTACAGCAATGCTGCTGTGGCTTTTAACCGGCAGTTTCTTAAACATAATAGTGTCTAGACCTGGCATCAAATTATATTTTTGGGACTATTCATATTATGGTATTCTCTATGTTGCATAATATTTGATGCTGTGAAAAGTGTGATATTAAGTGTATCCAAGACTCATTTATCTCCAATTCTATCGAAGCTTTTGAAGGACAGAATTCATAAATTCTACATTTCAGCTATGAATGCATTTTTGAAGCATTCTAGAAATTCTCCAATATATAGCATTCATGGTGAACAATAAACTCAAGCTTTTTAAAGATTATTTAATTCTTGTCTGTGTTGAGTTTTCTCAACCCTGCCGCACTTGGACAGGCCTCAGATTAGGAAGGGGAGGATCAGTCAGGCAGCGGCTGCTGCCAACTATCTATCCATAGACTGTCTGCTGGAGGTGCACGAGTAATGATGCTGGGAGACGACAGCGATAGATAGGCATGGTTACAATAATCACGCCTGTACACTGTGGGTCCTCTCCCCTGTCATCAAGTCTCAGCTACTATTCGCTATCCAGATTCATATGTGGCCACTTAGGAGTTGGAGCCCATGGAATCTTATACCCTTATAATAATACATTCGAAATAGAGCCTTCCACATGAAGAGTATGTCCCAAAGCGTTTCACAGGACATACTATAAAGCGGAGTGACTGTGTGTTTTGTGGGCAAACCAGCAGTCAATTTGTGCAGAACAATATCC